ATTGGGGAAATTCTTTAAAAAAAGTATCGATATCTCTCGTCTTCAAATTGTTCGTCGTATCCTTAGATTCTTCGAAAGAGGAATCGTTTTGAAATTTAAATCGTTTAAATCAACAATTAAAATGAGATATACGGGTCGTATATTTTATCGCTTTGCTCCAGTTTACACCTGTCCGGTATATTACGATACACCGGTATCGTGCATCATCCGTAACGCGCTCTGCGATTCCAATTTATAATATAATAAATTTTACGCAGCGAGTTTGCGAACCGAATGAAAATTTTCTGCCTCTCGCCTCGGAAAAAGGGAATGAAAAGTTTATCAAACTTGGTTCGATTTACGCACCATATAAATCATCCAACTTATTTAACGAGTTATATCGATTTTGATATTTTTTCACAATGCGCGATAATCAAATCCAGCCGTTCGATTAATTTCATTTTTAAGAAATCGAGCAGAGGAATAATTATTTCAAAATTAAATACATTGGAGATATCCTTGGGAATGAATAACGCAGAAACGGTTGTAACGGTTATGTAACGGAGGAACAATACGAGAAACAAGCGAAGGCGTAGATCGTATTGGAAATCGGTGTTCGATAATCGATATTTCGTATGACGCGTTGATAACGTTGATATTTCGGCAACACATGCCACCGGCTTGCGCCGCCATGTGTTCGATGCAACGGTACGTTGTTACATTAACGTATGCCTCCCGCTACACGGTCTACACGTGTTCGTATTTCATCAACTGCGTAAATATTTCCACGACTTTTATGCGCTTCTATTTTTCGCTTAAAGAGAGAATGATATTAGCAAAAAAAAAAAAAAAAAAATTAAATCTCACAGTATAGTTCGTCAAAGTTTACTTATTAAGTTCAAATAATAACAATGATTATTATAGAGAGAAGAAAATATTTGCTTATACCGGTACATCGTCGTGCAAATACCAAGTATTCACGAGCAACGATTCGATAATATTTCGATGTGCGACGTCCGTAAGTAAACTATCGATATTTCTACCAGTTGTCCATCACGAACGTTCCGGATGGTGTACACATCGTTCATTTTGACGTATGGACATATTCCAACTTGAATTTCTCTGTGGAAGCTGTTCAAATTCTTATCGAATTAGCGACAGAACGAAAGATAGTTACGCAAATACGCGTTTCTTTCTTGCCGATATATTTGCCCCTACGTTTTCTTTTCTCTTTCGTTCCAATTTGCAAGTATAATTTTACAAAGCTAATATTTCGCAATGTAGAACGTGGTGGAATAGTGGCGGAGAGAAGGAAAGTGGTGGGGGCAATAGGGCGATTGCCGCGCTCTACCGACACAACAGCGTTCTGACCTTTTCAAAGAACGTATCCTGTAAAGTTCTATCGCCTCGTTGAGAACGACTCGAACGAGGAATATTCGCGAATGGTCGATCTCCAATTTGCTTGTGGTGGAAGCATACCGTGGAAGTATACAGTGGTTCTCGCGTTATAGTTTCTGCTAGGTGGCGAAATTAATTGGAATTAGCAGGTCGGAAAATGAAAATTTACGATTATAACCGCGTAATGTTACGATATTGCTTTTGAATGGATTATTTACAACGCCGGTCCTGTTAATTTTTTTCATTGAAATTTATCATTTAATACCTGGTAAAATAATTATTCGAAATTTTAATTCGAATAATCGTCACGGAAAGTGGATAACTTTGTTAATAAATGAAGATAATTTTTACGTACAGCACACTCTCGTATATCGCCATTCAGATAATAATTATGAAATATTTATATTATAAATAGTATCAACGTTAATTCTGTACGCTTAACGCGATAATTTAAAGTTTTAATCCTTCATGGAAGTATACCATCGCAACGATAAAATCCGCGTTTGTATAATTTAATTATCTATCTCGATTAATTCGACGATATTTATGTAATCATATTTACACTTCTCTTCCTTTTATAATCCGCGAAGCCGTTCCATAGTTCTGGTTTCACGAATACCGAAGCAGAATCATCGAAGACACTTGGATTTCCCGCAATACGAGCATTTCTTCGGTCGATCCCCTTCCGGTCAAACGATCGATCGTTCACCGGTGAAACCGACTTTTTATTTACGTAATTTAACAGTCGAAGCAGGAACGATGAAACAGGACGCTAGACAGTGCGTAACGCTATCCCATGCATAATCGTCGGAAATTTATACCTGATTACATAGTTGAATAAGAGTTGTGCAATTGCCGCGTGAATTACGCCCATCCCGAATTTCTTTTAGTTTCCAATAGAAAAATTTAAATTTGTAAGAGTTCTCTTCAATGAACTTCCCATGTGTGCCGTGTTCATCGAGTAAGAAATTTTCATTCGGGAAAACGAATATCCGTTTCGAAATAAATTAAATTCCATATAAATAAACGGAACGAAAGGAACGAATTGTGGTTAAAAAGCGGAGTTTCATCGATTTATTTATTTTTTTTTTTTCTCTCTCTATCTTTTTTTCCTTTTAATTAGTTACATCATTCGTTTGCATCTGTTGCATCGAATAGTTGGCTATCCTGGTCGGTTCTTTATATAACCGAGACTATTCAAAGTTCCGCAAAAGGGCCGGGGCACGATAAAGAAGCGTAGAAAGCGAGTGTATAAGAAGTTCCGTGCATCAAAGGTACAGGAGTGGCGCGTATGGTTGGTATAACAATGCCAAATGAAATTCATTAAAAGGCGTGTGTATACGTATAAAAGAGCGTGTACATGGCTCTCTAATAATACTTAAAAAAGAAAAGAGGGGAAAAGGAAAATAATTACTTGGTTCCCGCCGGTGTATAACGTTGAGTTAAAATTTTACGGCTTGTAGACGTGATGTACAGTTAAGTTACGTTATTTATCGCGAAATGACTTACCACGTCATGAATATTCCCCCTCGATGTTGATTGATCAGTGTATTCAAAACTGCGCATATATATGTATATATATATATATATAT